CTAGCTCAGTCTTAATTATTATAAATCTATATATGTTATAAGACTTATCTTATCAGACGCCTTATTGGCGTCCCTCCTTGCCAGTGGCTCACGTCCTGCCACTGGAGGAGGCCAACAGGAATAAGGGGCCACTTCCTGTTTCCTCGCTTAGATATGAGTGTCCTTGCTATGTCCCTTCCTGCCTGGATCACCAGTTCTCTACTACATTTCCCAGAATCCTCTTTGACTCCTAGTCCTGTCTAACTTGCTGTCTATTTGGCCAAACAGTATTTTATTTAACAATCAATAAGATAAACATACACAGTACAATCCCCATCAATGGTCCATGCATAACTTTTAGCATTTAAGAAAATGAAAGTCTAGAAAATAAAAAAAAAGCTACTTAGTCTTGTTCTAGATATGGGAAAGATGGGAATGAATCTGGTTCTGGTTCTGGTGATGGGGTAAAATCTACTAACTGTGTATAGAGAAAATGATGGCTTAGCTTGATTTACAACATTTTCTGGGAAGTATCATGAATAATGGGAAAGGGAGGTTCCTTGTAGGGGTTACCTATCCCTTGATCTACTTAGACAATGATCTGAATTTTAAGACACACTCCATTTGGAATATTTAAATGTAGATGCTTTGTCTACCTCAGTCTACAGAGCTCAAATTAATTCTAAATATAGTAGAAAAGAAAATAAAAGAAAATTTACAAGGAATTAAGTCTGTGGTTAATCTGTATAGTCTTTGGAGAATAAACAAATAACATACATGAAAACATAATTTTCAAATATTGATGTAAACATAAGGCACTCACTGTTCTCTCTAAGGTCAAGTGACCATTGAACTAACATTAAAATAATGGTGAAGATGACTGCCAGAGAAGCTAGTAAACAAGGAGGACCCTAAGAGAGATATACACAGTCCCCTGGAGAAGGAGAAAGGGTCAAGATCCCCTGAGCAAACTGAGAGCACGGGAAGAGCGGGAAGGGAGCTATGAGAATGAGAAGGGTAAAAGAGGAAGGATGCACAGGTCATGAGGGAGCAGAAAGGTTGAGTCAGGGGAAGAATAGAAGAAAGGGTATGTGATAGGTAGGGTTTTAGTTGGGGGGGTATTACTAGAGGACGGAAAGGAGAAGGGGACTAGCATTCTCATGTAAAACAATCTTCTTTCTAATTCAAATAAAAAAAATCTGAAAAGAAAAGAATAATGGTAAAGATGACAGTTAAATGAAGGTTTTAATTCATGATTAAATCTGCATTTATCTTGTTTCATTTTAAAATAAGGTTAACTTGTTATTCCCTCAAAACTCAGATATCTGATGGCAGTACACTTTGGGGGTTACTGGATTAAGACTTTTTTGAATCCATTCTCAACCTTGCATGTGGATGATTTATAGATGTAAAGTGGAAATGCTAGCTTAGAGAAAGTGGAGGAGTGAGTCTATAGTCCACATGGACAGAGGCAAAAATTAAATCATAGTAATGAAGAGAATAGAAAAGCTCTGAATGGGTTAAGAGAGGCTAAACAGACTGCTGTCACTCTAGAAAAGAAAAGCACATGTTGAATAATTGACAGTCTTAGGAAAACTACAAATGCTATTAGTAAAATAAACAGGCAACAAAAACAACAGAGAGAGAGAGAGAGAGAGAGAGAGAGAGAGAGAGAGAGCTGCATGCACACACTCTAGAACAAATATGTTTATTAAGTAATATAAGGAAATCTTTATGCACTAGTTTTAAGGAAAGTCTCCTGTAACATCAACAACAAAGGCCAAGAGCACAAGACAGCACTTCATTTTGGGCATTTTAATTCTCTTCTCAAACACTCCAGGAGCTTTCTTGTCTCCCTTTCTCAAGCCTCTCTTTATCTCTTTTCTATACTTAAGCTATATTGGAATAACCTTGATCTTGTGAGTTGGTTTCTAAATGTGTTTTCAAAGTAGGTTCATCTTCACCACTTAGAGGGAGGTTTATCTGCTCTTTGCCAGACAAGCTGTTTGATCAATTCATTTAATATCACATATTTGGGATACAGACAAAATGAGTAGTAGAGATCAAATAGAGCTTTCCACCTGAAGTGAGTATGTAGTTGTGAACCAAACTGTAAGGAAATGCAATGTCCTGTTCTATTTGGAAACTGAGAGGGCCATTTAACACCTATTTTCATGTTTTATCTGCAAGATTATTTGAGAGCTACAAAAGACCCAAGCCAAGCAATTAATTTGTTTCAAACAGTAGATTAACATAAATGGTTTTTGTGAGATAGTAGTTGTTGCAGAAACATCATATTATCATGTAATATGTTTTGAAAGGGATATTATAGCCTAGGTTCCTTTGCACAATGACTCTGGCAATGCTCATCACAACTTAGAGAAAGTATCATGCCATCAAATGCAAAATCAACTCTATCCACGGTTTGTAATTTAGAAGAGTCATGCCTAATGAATGCCACAAAGGAAGGTATAATTAATGTGTGTGTTGTTACCTAACCTGACTTCTGAATAAGATACAAAAATTAATGGCGTTAATTATGTGTGACTAGATCATAACTGAAAGTGTGGTGGTGCAGAGAGTGCCTTGAAGGAGTTATTCTATAGATCTAACAAACGAAAGAAAACCATGAAACCTGAGTTTGTGATAGGAACTTAGATTCCAACTTGCTTCCTGTGTCTTAGCAAGACCTTCACTACCTCCACTATTTCCCCTCTAAATTTGTGATACTGTGGCTTAAAGTCTCCCAGGGGCTGATGTGTGTAAAATCACCAGCTTGTGGCACAATTTGGAGTTAGTAGAATATTTAAGGGGTAGGGCTGAGTGGAAGGAAGTCTGGTCACGGTGCACATAGCCTTGAAGTGAATATTGGGACCTTAGGCCCTGTCTATCTCTTGTTTCTATGCTTATTGGCCACTATGAGATAAACAGCTATCTCATCTGAATATCGTAGCCATGATGTCTTACCTCATCAGAAGCATAGAGATCAAACATAAAATTGTGAGTCACAATTAATTTTCCTCGTAATTTGCTTACTTCAGCTATTTTGTCACAGTAATGGAAAGCTAGAACAAATACACTTACTTTCATAGCTTGAATATTACTCTTCCAGTTTGGGACAGTATGCACATCATGACTCATCTTCTGTTTCTACATAGGAAGTTCATGCAATTTTGAGAAATCTTATCTGCTGATTTGCATATATAGAAAAGCACCTTCAGCCACTGCCTCTTAAATATTCTCATTCATAAAAGCATTAGCAGACAACTTAATATTACAGCTGATGTAGAAAATGTAATACTTTAAATGCTAAACCAAGATTTAAAAGCTTTCTTTCTTCAGGAGCTGAAGTTTTAATTACATAATCAGTATATCTCATAGAGAAACATGGCATCAATAAAGAAGAATAATGTGCCAGTGCATTTCTACTTCCTTGAAAATACTGATCCTTTTTATTCCTAATAATTTTCCTCTGGTATTCATGAAGTAAAAACTAATTAAACCACTTTGAGGTAGTCACTGTGTAGATTCAAACATTATCTGCTTTTCTCCCTTCAAGACATGCATAAAGATTGTTTTACATTTCTATCAGAATAACAATAAATTGTCAGGCTAACATTTTTAGGCTAATATTAAATACAATGCATTTTAAATTTAAAATTCTAGCAATAAATGTGATCAACCCTTGAATTCAACAGGTATGGAAGCCTAGATCTAATAGGAATGTCTAGAAGCTGAAGTTTAGCTTACCTCATAAATGAAGAACTTGATGAATGGTGCCAATAGTTAGATGGCAAATAGGAGGGAAAATGAAGACAGCAGATTTTCAATTCATGGTTTTTCCCAATATTTTCTCCTATCTGTGAGGCTTTCCCATTTCATGCAGTTTTTTGGTTAGAATGTTGAGAAGGTCATCAATTTGTCAATGACCACACTGTCCACGGATGAAGGCATAGCTAAGAAAAACATTATTTGTCCTTATATTCTATTAAAGTAGACCAGTTATTACATAATAGAATCCATGCCTAGACAACTAGGACACTGCATGGTGAACAATTAATCTACCCAGCATTTTATGGGTGAAAAACCAATATTATCAACAAGACACTCTCTCAGCATCCATGTATCTATCCCTCACTTTAAAACAACCTAAGAAGCCAGAGCAGGTAGGAAACTTACTAGCATTTCATAAACTGTGGGAGTCTTCTTCTTTTGTGCATATTTTCAATTGTAACCTCCTTTGGTTCCTTTGACAATATAAGCACACATCTACAGAACAAAGTCACATGTTAAACTTCCTCACAGGCTCATTCGCTGTGTTGCAGATGAAATAAATATTTGAGGAGTCAAATTTTTTCTAACAAGACAGTGGAATTAACTATTTTCATAAATAAGTCATTAACCTGGAACAAGGATGAGGAATAAGTAAAGTTGACTCCTCTAAAAAGAAGAATCTCTATTTTGATGCTCTCTTTGAATTCTCATCTGCTTAGTATGAGAAAGAAACTTATTATATTTCAATATTGAAATAAAATGAATGCAGATTTTCTTATGCTTCAGAAGAAATGATTCTTCACCTTTTGCTTATTTTGGTTTATATTATATACATTTATTTATTTCATATCCCAACCACAGTTTCATCTCCATTCTCTCCTTTCCTCTCATTCCCCCACACAATCCTAACCCCACAATCCACTCCTTCTCTGTTTCTATGCAGAAAAGGGAAGCCCTCCCACTGATACCAACAAAACATGGTATATTAAGTTGCAATGGGACTAAGCATCTCCCCTTATAAGAAAAAGGCTCCCAAAAGCCTGCCAAGGCATTAAGGCCAGTACCTGTTCCTGTTGTTAGGAGTCCTACCAAAAGACCAAGCTATACAACTGTCTCATATATGTAGAAGGCCTAGTAGGGTCTCTAGTTGTTGGTTATGAGCCCAGGTTAGTTATTTGTTTCTATGGAGTATTTTATGACTTCCTTGACCCCTAAGGTTTACATATCATTCTTTCCCTTTTTTTCAGTAGGATGCCATGAGCTTGAACCGATGTTTGGCTGAGGGTCTCAGCATCTGTTTCCACCAGTTACTGGATGAAGCCTCTCTGATGATGGTTGGGGTAGGCACCAATCTCACTCAGGATGGTTTTTTTCTAGTTCTATCCATTTGCCCTAAAATTTCATGATGTCATTTCTCAAGAGCTATGTAATACTTCACTTTGTAAATGTACCACATTTTCTTTATCCATTCTTTAGTTGAGGGACATGTAGGTTGTTTCCAGGTTCTGGATATTATGAATAAAGTTGCTATGAGCATAGGTAAACAAGTGTCTAGAACTCAAGAAACTAGATGTCAAAAAAAAAAAAAACCAAAATAATCCAATTTAAAATGAAGTACAGATCTAAACAGGGATTTCTCAACAGAAGAATCTCAAATGTTTAAGAAATGCTTAAAGAACTGGGCATTGGTGTTGCACACCTTTAATCCCAGCACTTAGGAGGCAGAGTCAGGCAGATCTCTGTGGGTTCAAGACTAGCCTCGTCTACAAGAGCAACTTCCAGGACAGCCTCCAAAGACATAGAGAAACCCTATCTTGAAAAGCCAAAAGAAAAAAAAACACTTAAAGAAATGAGAAATGTTCAACATCCTTAACCATCAGAGAAATACAAATCAAAACGACTGAGATTTCATCTTATACCTGTCAAAATGGTTAAGACTAAAAATACAAATGACAGCTTATGTTGTAGAATGTGGAGCAAAGGGAGTGCAAACTTGTACAGCTACTTTGGAAATCAATGGTAGCTTCTCAGAAAATTTGGAATCAACCTACATCAGGATCCAGCGACACCACTCTTGGGTACATGCCCAGAGGATATTCAATGATACTCCCATTTTTAACTGCTCAAAATAACTGCTGAATCTTCCCTGAAGTAATGATCAGGGTTATTTTTCTGAACACACAATAAAAAGATATTAGGCTTCTTTGCCTGTAAATGAGATTTGTCATCCCACTCATATCATCCAGAACCTCTGTATAGACTGCCAGCCACTCACATTGCTCAAATCACCATACCAACAATAAAAATAGTCAATAGCAATAACATATTTCACTCATATACAGTCTCTGTACATCATGGTAATGGACAAAAAATAAGGAAACACATGCCCCAAATACCCTAAAAATTTTAATCCTAAATATGTAAATGTATATGTGTGTTCATTTTAACATATCAGTAAAGTATAAAATTATGCAATGAATTAAACATTAAATATCACTTAGCTACTGTACTTCTGCTCCTCTTTAAATGCCTTTGGCAAGAACTCAAATTAGCTTTAATAAAAGAGTTATTATATTATTTACTTGATTACAAATAGGCAAATGAAAATACCATTCTGTAAATACTTTTGATAATTAAATACTAGCTGACATATGGAGGTTTATTTAAGTACAGCTATAAGTTTATTAAGATGTATGACCTCAAACCCTGTAACCATATCCTCAATAATCTATTGATACTTAAGATAACAACCACATTATATGTGAGGTAGTGCAGTTACATGCATTCTTTCCATAGAATGTTAGCTTAAGACTAATTATTAGTAGCATATTTACTGAGTCTCAGCTAGCTAAGAGATATTCATCTTAATAAAAAGTTTTTATGCCCCAATAGATATTCATAATAATCAGTTGATATTTAATTAACATATAATAACTCCCTCATTAAACCTAAATTAAATCCTTATTTGAAATACTCAAGTTAAAGCACAACTAAAAATATTGCTATAGAAAAACAACATAGCAGCCCTGCATTGTTTGTAGAAGTAAAGTAGGAAATGTCCTTCCCATCCAAGATGGAAGTTTAACCTTCACAGAAGGCTATTTAGAGTAGCCTGGAAGTCATTCATACAGAACACAAAACAAGTACAAGTTGGTAGTAGACAACATTGCTTGCTAGCCTAGATTTCAATTTGTGTTAGAAATCACTAAACTATATGAACTATTGAGGCATCTGATGGTCTTAGATGAGGTAAAAATCAGCTCAGGTGAAGGGAACTTTACATAGCATCCTTCTTCCTTCCCTGGAGATGCTGTTATATCCTTCCCTGCTCTGCTACAGAATTCAGAAACCTCCCCCACTAGAATGAATTCTTACACCTTCCCTCCAGATTTGAGTTGGATTTTGCCAGTTGGCAGTGTCTTCAGGAGATCCAGGCAGAAGAGTACAGAGAGGTCGGGCCCTTCTGCTCTTCATCTTGTTTGCTAAACTGTGGTTCAGTTGTTATGTATCTCTCTATTTTGTCAGGTATTTTCAGCTGTTTGTCTTTGTTGTGCTCAACAGCACTCCCTTTCCTTTGTTGCAATAAACCTCTGAAAGGCAATAGTGATATGTAGTTGCCAGTCTTAAGGATTTTCTACTCTCTTCCTCATTTCATTGTTTGCTGTACTAAGGATGCATAAGGCCTTAAGGCAGAAATTTCTACATTTGAACATCTCATCTTCTTCCTTTCAAGACTTGTATCTTAATTTGAATTTAATTAAATAATAATTTAAAATATTGAAAAAATTTTCAAAGAAAGATGATTAAATCATAACTACAGCAATAACAATAGCAACTTACTTTTACAATATAATTTCAATGGGTTTGATCACGTTTTAATTTTAGACCATTTAATTTTAGACATTAAATCTGTTAAAATGAAAAAATAAATATTTTGGTTTTCTGCACAAAAGCACATGGTAAACAAAAAAAGCTGTTTGCTGTAAAACAGTCTCTCCTATAAATGGCCACATAAACAGAACTGAAAAAATGACAACTGATAGGTTAACAAGGAAGGGGGAAAGTTTCTCAGGGTCTCATCTCTAGAGAAAGAATACAGGCAACTGATGTCTGTCAGGAGAGGGAGAATTAGCTTCTCCAAGGGTTGAGTTCCCTTATTGGGTACTCAATGCAGGGTGGTCAGTCCTGAAACCATATGCACACAAACAACAAAAACAACCTCAGCACATCAGCAAGTGTGTGTGTGTGTGTGTGTGTGTGTGTGTGTGTGTTTCCCTTCTTTTGATTTTGCTGGTCTGAGATTTTCCCCTATATTTTCATGGTTGTAGCTAACCTCCTTAGGTTAGAGTTTTTCTTCAAGCATATTCTGTGTAGTTCTGGATTCCTTGATAAATATTGCTTAAATGTGGCATTATCATGGAATGTCTTATTTTCTCCATCTGGAATTGTAATGTGAAACACATTTTGGCTTGCTCCTTTCTGAACAGAAACAGAGGAGGAGTAGACTGAGGGTGGGGTGGGAGGAAGTGTGGGGCAGAAATGGGAGGAGAGGAAACTACAGTCCTCCTTATGTACATGAATTAATTTTTAACAAATTAAAAATATCAAGAAAAAGAAATATACTTTTGAAAAATGAAAAGACAATCAGTAATGAAACTCACGACTTGCAAGCTTCTATTCTAAATATTTTTGATTGCATAATTTAGACAGAGAGATTAAATTCTCCTCCATTTAAGTCACCATTTTACTAAAGCAGTAATTCATAGATAAAAAAGTAATAATCCACATAGTGAGAACCATAGAAGCTGTGGTTGAAGCAATATTTAATGATTCTATTTAAACTATGAGAAGACACACCACAATATTCTGCTCCTAGATCATCACAGGAGGGCCCTGTCCTTTCCAGTGACAGCATTCTCCTCATTGGACACAGATATTGCCCATGGATCATCACATAATACATGACAGACACTACAGAGTTCTCTAAGAGCTGTTTTACTTCCTTGGGGATGGAAAGTTGTGATGATGAAAGCCCTAAAACTATGATTAGCTGTCTTAGCTCTCAGACACAGTCAAACAGCATAGAGACAAATACAAAAGAAGGCTGAACCAAAAGAAGAAAGCCAAGCATACTAACAGCAGCCCTCCACTTCATATGCCCAACAAAGACCAACAATGGATAATCCAGCCCTTAGAATGAGCAGGAACAGTGTTAAACTAGGACTCTCTGACAATGCCATTTTTGGATTGCCATGACTTAACCAATGAAACAGACATCTACCAAGGATATATAGATACTTTTTAATTGATTTATTTCATGCAAAAAAGATGTGGCCATATCTTGATATCCATCAGCTGATACACATATTGTAAGATTATTTCTGACAGGACAGCCTCCATAGCCACAGATAAACCCTGTCTTGAAACCTCCCCCCCAAAAATAATAAAACAATAAATAAATAAGATTATTCCTGATAGTGTTCAAGTTAATTATTATAAACAAATAAATCCATCTAATGCAAATTTATGTAACTGTGTGACATTTTACATGAAAGTTCGTAAACAATCTCTCATTTTGGGGTTGTATGTTTCACAACTCATCTTTTTCTGTCTCAAACTTGAATTCCTCATTACTTGGCAAATTAATATTGCCAATTTTTTCCTTCACAATCATAGTGTTATTGTAAACTTAAAATTGGTGTTGAAACTGTCAGCAGTTTGCCAAATGTCAGCTGTAATTATTTGGGCAATATTTTAAAGCACAAAAGCATGTCACATTATATATTGGCCATGATATTCAAAATGAGATGATGTGATTAAAAATAGGTATCATTACTTGTTTCTTTTGGTCTGTAGTTAATGGTTTTAAAGCACTTTACAAACATTAAATGATTAGACTTCCTAACAGCTTTCGGACACAGTGGTGTTATAAAGGGGACCACTTCACTGTGATAATGTGGACCTGTATTTATTTTCTAGATTTTAAAGATCCACTTAGGGAGACTCTGAGCATTAAAAATCAATTTAAAATACAATTAAACTATTAGTGTACCCAAAGAGACCAATAGCAACATTAGGCTACATCTATTCTTGGGCCAAATGAGTGGGGAGTGCAGGCACACATCCAGACACTTAGGAAATAATGGCTCAAATGTCAACTGGGGGAACTGAAAAAGGATGGGAGGACTAGAGGTTTCCAAATTGAGTCTTTCCAGTGAAATCTCAGTACATATTGTACCACTTCCGTGATCCTAGTAAATATGCTCTCTTTCTCTCCCTCCCTCCCTTTTAAGAGAATTGTACTTTGGAACTATATTATGATATCTTTTTTCCAACTTTTAAATGAATGATGTAACTTTATTTTTTCATTAAGAAAACTGTATTTCTATCTTGCTCCCTTATCCACCCACATGGTAAGAACATAATCACTATCTAAATGTGGCTTTACTCTGCTCAGTCTAGCTCAAATAATTGTTGTGATTCTGGGGAAATGCCCAAATGACTACAGTACCTTATTTTAATAATCTAACTCTCTAAGCAAAATTAGGTGAAACAATTATTTGTATTTTCTTGCTTTTGATGACTTAAAATATTTTTCTAATATCAATATGTGAAAATGCATCTACATTTTATTATAATGTTTTACATGTATTTGAATATAAATGAAATGTGTGGTCTTGGGCATTTAGAAATAGCAGATAGAGAAAAGTCTACGTTGTGCCTATCTAGGAAATAGTATTATAATATTTTCCTGGGCTCATTTTTCATTTTTGTAGTCATATAAAAATTACTAAAGCAGTGGTTCTTAACCTTGCTAATGTTGCAACACTTTAATACTGTTCTTCATGTTGTGGTGACCCCAAGCCATAAAATTATTGTATTGCTACTTCATATTGTAGTTTTGCTACTGATTTGATTCATTATATAAATATGTGATATGCAGGATATTTGATATGAGACTCTCTAAGGGGTGGTGACCCACAGGTTTGGAAGCTCTGCACTAGAGTTCTTGGAACAAAAATCTGATTCTAGTCTTTGCCCACCCAAAATTGTATGGTATGAATTTGAGCTAATTAACTTTCACTTCTGGTCTCACCTCTCCCTTGCTTGGAACTTAACTTTTTGGCATACTGCTTCTTAATATATGGAAGTTACAATGATGTTGATGTGATGCTTGTCTTAATTTTCAACTTGACACAATCTAGAATCATATGGAGAAAGTCCTCTGGCATTGGCTATAGTTGGAGAATGTCTTGGTTACTTTGAGGAGGAGGTTGGAAGACCTGCCCAATATGGGTCACACAATTACCTGACTTGGATCTAGGATTATATAAATAAAGAGGGCTTATTGACTATGGACATAATGTGGTTACCTGCTTCAAAAACCTGCCACTGTTACTTCTTTGCTATTGATGGAGTGCATCCTGAGATCTTAAACACACCTTTCTCTCTTAAGGGTATGTTATCACAGCAACAGAAAAAGACAAACAGAAAAAGACTCTGAGTTACATCTCAAATACCAGAACTGAACAAAAGTATTGGTGGTTAGGAAGCATTCAGGAATGCTACCTTTGCTTGAAACCCTATCTTTAACATCCCGTTTGTCTCCTACTTAGCTTTGGGGGTCTTATTTGGCCAAAAGCAATTTGTTCTACATTCTTCTTTCTTATTGAATGCTTCCATACTCACATCTGTGATTATTAGTTTGTTGGGGACACAATTAACTCTTGAACATTAATGACATTTTCATTGTTGTGACAAACACCTGAGCTAATAAATGGAAAGGATGTAAAGAACTTTTGACTCATACTTTCTGAAGTTTCTTGCCATGATTGTTTAGCCCAGTGGCATTTGGTTGCATGGAACATTATGATGAGTACATAAGACACAGAAGTTTGTCACCTTTGGCAGATAGGAACTAACAAGAAAGGAGAGTAAGAGGTCAGAGTCCCAGCAGCCCCTTCAAGATAATGTTTCCAGTGACATAATGTTCTATGATGAAGTGTTTCCTCTTAAGAGTTTCACAACTTCCATATAAAACCACTGCTCAGGTACCAAGCCTTTAACATATGAGCATCTGAGGAACACTTCAGAACTGGAGTAAAATGTCTTACTCTTTTACTAATTTAGTATTTGTAATATCCATCAGATTGTGAGTAGAGATTATACTTTTAATCTTTATTTGTGGTATATAATAGTATGATGCAAGCCCTAGTTCTTTAATACATATTAGTTAAATGAATAAAGAAAAAGGGAATGATTGGAAGACTTGAGTTTATAATTTTTTCTTCCTATGTTTTAAAACTAAACTTTTTAACTTTTTAAAATTAAAAACTTATATATATATGTGTGTGTGTGTGTGTGTGTGTGTGTGTGTGTGTGTGTTGCCTGAATGTGTGACTATGTACAATGTATGTGGTAGGTGTCTTTCAGAGGCCAGAAGACAGTATCCGATCCCTGGAACTAGAGTTACAGTGGGTATTCCGGAAGTGCAGCCAGGGTCCTTCACTGATAACCCATATCTCTAGACCAAACCTCTGACATTTTTAATTCTTTATACAATGGACATTTCATCAATATGCCCTTCAGTAACTTAGCCTTTTCCTAAAATGCCAGCTCTCTCACCCAATGTGCTGCATTACATTGCAAATTGAGGTTAACTATTTATTGTCTTTAAAATCAGCATCCTATTGGTCTTCAACACTCAAATGTTTGCAACACCATGTGATAAAACATCAAATGCAAACCAGAAGAAGTCTTGGCAAAGAAAGAGAAGTCAGGCACATAATTCTAGCAAATTCATGGAGTTTGTGCAATTGTTAACTTCTAGCAGAGGAAGATACAGTTTCTCTAAGACTGTAGCCTGTTAAGCTTACCAGGTCCAGTAAACACATCACCACTTAGCATATTTGAATAGCACAAACTCATCTTGAAGGAGTGAAAAAATGATGAATCAAAGTTGAGTGGATAGGGAAGGAGCATGAATTGGGACAGGGAGATGAATATGATCAATGTAGGTTCTATGAAACTATCAGAAAATTACTATTGATTTAAAATTAAATAAAAAGCATCCTGTAAGACATGGTATAGTTGGAACAAAACATAATTAATGAACTTTCTGACAGTAGCCCCACACCAATTCTAACTCAATCTCTTATTTCCCCAGTAGCAACATAATAGATTTACAAGTTTCCTTTACATTGCCTCAAGCCAGTCAATGAGCATGTGCTTTATGACCACTATGGCTTAAACACTGTAGCAAGGTGCTCTATATACCTTGCACCTCTTTTGCTTTCTGTAGCATATAATCATGTAAGACCTCAATGATAGTTGAATAGGTGTTAAGCTCAGTTAAAATGGAAACCACAAACTAGTGCCAATTAAAAAATAATAATCTTCAGGTCCTCATTCCAAACAGTTCACTGCCATGAGGAAGCTAAATGGAATGGATGCTAAAAATTCCAAATGCAGTGGGACACTAGAGATGTTCACATCTGAGCAGACTCACACTCATCACCATCACCATGGAAACCATCCCCCACCCACTTCTTAGGAGGAAACAGCAGCTGTTCAACAGCCAGCAACCAAAAAAAAATGTAAATCAGTTGGATGCAGAAAAATCTCAAGATTCACTTAAAGTCATTAAAGGGATGAAATTTTGGGTAAAGGAATAAGATTAAGTGGTAATTTAGAAAATTAGGCTATATTAGCCTTCTGTGCATCTGGAAGATTGCTGCAAGGCAGAGGTGCAAGGTGGTCAAGATCTCCATCAAACACACCACTGCATCACCATGTTGGGATAATAACAGGGAATTTTGCAAAGTTAAATTGCAAGGAGAAAATTATTTTTTAAGAACAGAACTGGGGAAATGTGGGGATTAATTTGGATGGAAAATGTTAAACTATGTCATTTATACCACACAGGAAATTGAAGAAAAGAAGAGGACACTGTTGTATGAATAAAATACAAAATGTTATGCTGATTACATTATGTTTCCTTTGTGTGAGCTTTTTTGGGTTCATCTTCCCACAAAGGTTTGATTTGTGTGTAATGGTGATTCTGTTTGGAAAGCATTGGATACATTGTCAGCTAAATCAAGTAATTTGGACCGTATCAAGATACAGAGCTGCTTAGAAGTGTAGTTGCACGGAGACTCAGAATTGAAATAGGAAGAGCATGAAGGCAAGTGTTAACTACTACACTTTCAGAATATCTTCTTATCCTGGTAAAGTCCATATTCTACAAGAACTAGGTGAGGGATCTCTTGGCACGCTGAATCACTTCCATTGAAGAGATGCAAGGTTACATTCTCCCACAAGAATAGAAAAACATATATCCTGGGGATAAGTCTACAGAGAAACAGAAGGGAAGTGGAGGGAGGTGGAAGACAGAAAGGAGTGGAGGGAAAAGACAAACATGTCATGTAAAATAAATAAAAAACATTTCTATAAAATTCATCCAGTTTGTTTCTCTTACCCTTCCATGTTTTTCACCCTTGCCCTCACTTATAATCACCCTCCCTAATTATTCAAAGTAGTTCTTAAATAGTAGTATTTCTATTACTGTAATCCTATGACTCAACATTTTTATTACTTTATTAATTCTATCTTTGTGTTTGTAGAATTTTCAATTTTCTTGAGGTATCTGATGAATTATCTATAATTAATATATAAAATGTGATAAATTTTGACATATATAATGCTCAGATGCTGCCATCACCACAGTCACCATACATAATCGATGTGTTCATCACTGCTGTTGCCCTCTCTCTTCAAACATTTCCTTACATACATTAACTTATTGGTTTTAGGTTTTTTTTCATTTTTGTTTGGTAAAGCTGTTAACACGAAGTCTTCTCTTTTGACAAAATTATAGGTGCACTACTTCTTGTGAACTTGAAACACTAGACTGGACATCAGGTCTCTGCGATTCACACACCTTGTAAATCTAGAATCTTAAAGCTGGTGAAATTATGGCCCTGGACCATATAACTCAATGTATTGAGTAAAGATCATGTTCAAATTATCCTACATGTAAACATTTACTCTAATGCTGTGATGGTGATGTAATATAAATGAAGAGATGGGTAACTGGGTAGGAAAAATTCAAACTCTAGACCGTCAAAAAGTTTCATAATCATAATGAAGAATACATTAAATCTGTTGACATCCACAAGCATGCAAGATCCTCAACATAACCAATGGTTTCCATTAATTCCCACTATAATTTTTGTGAAAATAACTCCAGTTATCTTTGGGACTGCCCCAATATTAAGCTAAGTTTACAGGGTAATTACAATTTGGTGAGTTGGTTCTGCCATTAGCTCAGAGTGACTGTGGAAAAGAAATCATATTGACATTTTCAATTTGCCATTGCTGAAATTCTGTGCTATTTCTGTGAGTAAAACCAACAGGAGTATTTTTCTGAGCTAAGAACACTTAAGAACCTCCAAATCTTATACCATATCCCCCAACTGATATCAAGGTGTCACTATGAAACCTCTAAGGTTCCTTTGGCTCACAGTTTCAGGAATCACTTTCTAGATTGAAGACAATACTCTCTGTTTGTCTGTCTGCCTTTCCACCACATGTTTTAATATTTGGTCACTCCAAAGGTAAAAGCCAGGATATCCTGCATCCTGCAAGGTTTACTGACTCAGCTTATTCTTTTTCATGGGTTAAAACACAGAAACTGCTAACTACTTGAATATGCGGGAAGATAAAAGATTAAATAATGGGTTAATTGTAATTAATACATCAAATTATTTCTAGCCTATCCCCCTATAGTTTTGCTCATTATTTTTTCTGGAATTTGACATCAAATTATGTGGGATATAAAATAAAAATTTGAGGGATGCATACCAAAATATCTTTGTGGAGCTGAAAAGTCTCTAGGTGATGACCTAATACAGTAAAATTTGGAAGGCTTTGCTATTACAGATGGATTTTCAGACAGTTATATTTCTGAATCGTTGTTTTAATTCACTGCACATCAATGCTGATGACAAAAACCCCAGGAAGAAAGCTCTGAATACTGAATTCCATTAGCCAGTGGACTTGTGCAAGAAATGTACAGTGTTCCAACAGAAATCATCTGTGCCTCAAGGTAACATAAATCCATGGCATGGTACAATAAAACTTTTAAAGTACATATTTAAAAGAAAAATGCTGATTTCCTTATAAAATATTAATACTGTTACTGAAATTAAGTCACTAGATAGGAATTCAAATTACCCCAAATTATAGTTTGTTTAGATCAATAGTTTCACATTTGGAAAGAAAAAGTGCCAGGGTACTAAATGACAGCTGAGATTTGATTGCTATGTTCCTCTGCATCTTTCCAGCCCTCTGTAGTTTTTAAGAAGTCTGGACTTGGTGGGAGATCTTGAAGAAAAGCAAAAGAGATACAGAAACAGGACAGAAGAACTCTGGAAACTTAATTACAAATTGTGGAACAGGAAAGAAACATCTAGATGCACAGCCTATAAAATAACTAACTCCTGCTTTTCTTTCAAAAATCACATCCCTGTTACATGTAACTTCTTGAGCCATTTATGATTATTTTCTATTAATTTGTCATTTTCTATGGGTATAATAAGTGGCTTAAGATAAAAGTAGTTTGGGACTCATATATTATTAAACACAATATAAAGATGTTAATATAATTGTTAATAATATCCATGCTATATAAAGACAAATTTTTACTTTTTCCATTTAACAAGTGAAGCATACTGTTTCATTTACTTTAAATTAATTATGTAATAAAAGCATGAGTTGTCAACAAATAAATTCAAGAATGACACATACTGTTTTTGTTTGGAGAACTAATGAGTTTAAAATATAAATTAAAATTTAACTTGCCTCACCATTGCACACACAACAAAAAAACAACCTTGTGGTGATTTAATTTGGAGACCAGGAAACTGCATCTCAGAGAAACAACTGATTTTTTTAATGTGCTCATGATTTTGTATTTCCACCTTATTAGAACTAAATGGTGTAGATTACCCTTTGCCAATGGTTTGCAAATATAAGGTTAAATATGTGGCCATTGTTTATTCCAATGTATTTAAAACCAAATTGCATTCAATTATTACTATGTCTTAAAGTACCACGTGTGACATGAAAGAAAGTCAGATTCATGTCAGACATGCATCATGTCCTTGGAAGGAAAGACATGGTGTTATAAAGATAGACATTTAAAATACACTAAGCAAAATTCTAGTAAGTACCTCCAAATCTCTGTAAGATTTTCCTGAGTCTTGATAAAGTGATTGCATTTCTAGAAGTAATGATATAGAAGAATTTCTAAGGCCTTTTTAAAGATAGAAAAATGACACAATATTGGCAGAGAGCAATGCTGTCTTCAATGCTGGTGGAAGTAAAAGCATCATGATAATGGTTAGCAACAGAGAAATAGACCAAGGAGAAGTTATAACAAACCCATGTAAATACACACATGTGCAAGGCATTAAACTTGATATATGATTGCAATTCAGTAGATAAATCAAGTTGGCTAATCAGCTGTGAAAGCAAAAAATTAACTCCTACTTAAT